AACAGCATATTTTTCTTGGCTAATTTAATTTTCCTTGTGCCTCCAAAACCTTGTTTTCTCTAATTGAGTTTTCATTTGTTGCTGCCGATTTTTTGTCAGTTCTGGCCTGTTGTTCCAAATCAACTTTGTCAAGTCCAACCGCATAAAAATCCAATAAAGAGCTAATAAATTTGATAAAAAGCATGGCAAGACTGCGGAAAATGCTTGAAGATACATTTTTGTAGGCATTAAGATTAGAGATTATAGCATTCAAGCATACAAAACAATATTTTACAAAATTAACTTTTGGTTAAAGCAAACCATTTTGCATAATAAGAAATTAATATTCAATATTCAAAAATACTTCCCTCAATTAAATAAAAATCTTTAGTCTTAATACCGCCTAATACTTTTGCCACCGTTCTAATTAATATAAGTAATTCGATATTAATAAGCGGTAATTAAGCATTTCGCCCAATTATACACCACTTATCGTTGAGTTGTCAACGAGTGTCACCTGATAGGATGCTTATTTGTATTCAGCCAAGTAATTGCAGATTGCTGATGTGTCATGACCCGAGAACTGTCATTGCTCCATCACCCAGAAGGTAATGCACTTACATAACCAACCATCCATCTATCCATTGACCTATCATTCTAGCCATTCATCAATCTCTTGTTAGCTCTAAACACAATCGAATGACAGACAAAAGACATAGGGAGCATGCAGTTTTAATATTACGTATACGCCACGTGGTTCGCCTGACACACTGACTGACTGTTTGTCTGTGTTTGCACTCTAGTTTTTTACGATTCAGCTACTTTTTTGCCCTAAGCCTCAGGCATTTAATTGAACAAGTGAGCACTTTATTAAAATGTCACTCAACTGTGTTTAGTGCGATATAGTAACAAAAGGGCAGGCAGGTGGGATAAGGTGAGCATTTGATGGCGATGGCGTCAAGGGGCGAATGCGCGGGAATGGCCGACGACGTGGTCTGTGCAAATTTCATTACAGCAGTGTCAGGCATTTTGACAGCCAGTTGTACCTACATTTAGCATAGTCCTGGGAACAATAAGTGTTGGACAATACGCTTTTATTTAAAATTTCGACAATCGGTTGCTCTATGTAAGGGTTTATTAAGTTGCAGTAGACACATCAATTTGATTGGTAGTTGTAGAAAAAATATAAGGAAAATGTAAACATTGATTTGTTTTAAACATTTTGGGTATAACATTGCCGGTCTATATATATATATTGAGAAAATTTGAACTATAAAGTAGTTTTTCGGACCCCTTTAAAAGTGCTTACACTGTTTTAGGTTTTGTATATCTTAGAATAAATAACTTCTGATTGTTCAGATATGGTTACATGAGCCTCGTTAAAAATAACATTCCCTCAATGCCTGCCTATTACCGCGCATAAAAAGCTACATAAACAGCAACAATACCATGAACGGCAGCAGTTGCAGTCACGGATGCCGCAGTCGACTGCATTTAGCGTATGCATATTTAATATTTCCCAGGCAACTTGCGAGCGAAGCGAAACAACAACCAAAACTCCTGGAACTCTCCAGCCAAAGCCAAGGAACAACAGTTGAAAAAAGGGTTTTGAACTGGAGTAGGAAAAAGGAACATAGCTCATACTCGTATATCATTTGACCCTGCTAGCAGTTGCCCCCATATCCTTTTCCCCTCGCCCGCTAACAAGAGGCAAACAACAGGAAAACCAAAAGAGTGCAAAAAGAGCGCAAAAAAAGTTTTGAAATGAAAAAGCAGTCAGCATATGAAATGAGTTTATTACTCAAAATGTTCCGCTGTGTGTGTGTGAGTTTGTGCGGCACGCTTTAAGTGGCATGCACCATGTGAGCGACAAAGGGGGCGTGGCAGTCAACAGGAAGGGGCTGACGTTCTCTTTCTTCTCCGCTGACGAACCCACCGCGCGCTGCAGGCAAATAGTTAGCTAGATTTATTTATAAATAATTTCCAAGCATAAATCGCAGCGCAGCTTAATCAAATTTGCGGCAGACAGTGAGTGGCGAAGGTACATGGCCACAGCGTTGAATCTTTTCGTTCGTATAAAATATTGTCTTTATTATTCAACACGCTTTTTTGTATAAAGAAAATATAGTTTTCATTCCATTATAGGTCCTCATATTGTTAAAAAACATATCTTTGTAAGACACTTTTTAAAATAATGAAACTAATAGTGCAATATTATTATACAGCATTTTAAGTGTAAAATATACATAAAAATTTGTAACCATGTTTTGAATTAAAATATAAAATTCTTACAATCCACAATTGTCTTGTTTTGTATAATTGTTTTGACTGAACTGCTTTGAAACTTTTTTACATTATTTTTTACATTTATTTAAAAAAACGATAAAAGTTTGAGATGCGCAGCTACCAATTTCCCTTGACTCTTTCATGATACTTGCAATATAGCGAAAACACTAACAGTTGCAGCATAAGCATCTGCATTTCGTTGTCAGATAGGGAAATGCTTCGCAGAGGAAATGCTCCAAAAATGCCAAACTGCGTTAATTGGGCGCGACATTTGCTGAAACAACAGCATTATAATATAATGCTGCAATTTGGGGTGCGGATGCGTTAGCAGCGGATACAGCGCAACGGAAATTGGCTTATAGATTCCGGGCCATAGATATTTTGCCTCGTCTTCCGTTCGACCAAATTGCAGATTGAAGATGCAAATTCCGACGTGCATCGCATATGTCCGCCTTAATGCATTTGTGTGTTTGTCTGTCAGAGTGTGAGTGTGCTGCCGAGTACCTCAAATTGCTTTCAGTGTGGAGAAGTATGCCGTCGTCAAGAAAAAGTGACTTCTGGCAGAGGGTTTCTTAAAAAGTTGACCACTCAAATTGTTAAACTTTTATTAAAGTCTTAAAAATGCACACAAGTTATATTTTCCGCAAATTGACTTTATTGGAAATTAATTCTTTATTTTATTTTTATATTAAAGGAATTTTTTTTAATATTACATTTCTTTTACTATATTTACTAATTTCTTAATATAACCCTAAAAATCAATCCAAATTTTTTTTCATTCTTACTAATACAAACTATAATTATGGACCATGTCCAAATTTTTATTTCCTAATTCCACATTAAATAAATTGAATTGCTTTACGAAGGCCTCAATCTACCGCCTTGTTTTTCAACCATTTGAGTAAGCGCTTCAGCTTTAGTTTTTAGCATTTTTTCCTCAACATCCACATGACCAAAGTTGGTTTTGCCTGAGGTGGCAAAGTAGGTTGGCAGAAGGTCGCTCCTCTGCATTAGCTGGTCTGCAAGGGGCTCAAGTGCAAAATCGAATTTAGCTAACGGAATTTCATCTAGCTTGCCAAGAATCTCGTAATATCGTTTTTTTAACTATTCCCCTTACTTTGGCCAGTCCCTTTATCTCTTTAGCCTACACATTTTCCCCAAAAAAATCCTTCTTTTCTAACCTCCTTTAACAGCAGCCGACGATGCGACGATGGCGATAAGCGCTTGAAACATGCGTGCTAAAAACACACATAAGGACACCCGTACAAAACCTTTACACTGATAAAAAAAAATATGAGAAAGTTAGCGCACATTTTTTGACTACCTTGTCAATGAAGCGATCTTATAAGCCTATATTTACAGATTGAGTTAAGAAACACTTAATTTTTTAATATTTATTGGCTTAAAAAGGTATTGTAATTTAAGGTCATAATTTTAAACAAATTTTTATAAAACAATAAATTTATCATTAAATTTCTTATATGGCACCTATTTCTTTTCAGTGCAAGCATGCACCTGTGTTCCCTCTAATGTTGGTCACAAAAACAACAAAAAATCGCCGAGTAAAGGGATGTTTTCATGGTGGGGGGTTGCCGTGGGTAAGAACTGCTTAGTTCGGGGTCAAAGGGTGCTGCAAATTCAGCTGGAGCAGCAGCATCAGCACCTTTGCCATTAACCCAACTCGGTTCGTTTTGGTTCGGTTTTAGCTGGATGCTGCTACTGCTGCTACTTCCCCTTTTTTTTTACTATTAGTTTTTGCCACATGTTTGTGTGTGCCACCCCGCCCGAATCCCCCCGCTCGACAGCCTTGCTTTGAGCATAGCTGCGCTCACCTGTTCGTTTTTTGTTTTTAAGTGCAACATGAAATGTGCATACCAAGGAGCAGGCCAAACCAGACACGGACATGAGTCTGGACAGACTCTGTGTATTCCCCTCTTTTGCCGCCCAAAACCTGAATTTCCTTGTCCCCCGCCTCATCTGCATTCTGCTTGGCTCCTCCGAGGATGCCCCTCCAATTCACCACTGACTAATACACTCACTATCCATAGATATATGCCCGTGTGCCGACTATATACCCAGTGTTTTCGTACTCTTGTTTTAGGGCCCGGGAACTAAGATATATGGCAGCTGCCAAAAGATGCAAAACATGACTTTTCCTTACATACATATTAAACAGTGCTCTACGAAACTTTGTGTACCACCAGCTTTGGATTTGGTTGATCATTAATTTAAGTTGCTATTTAATAGTGGTCAGTTATTCACTTTCCGTTAAAAATCTATTTAGAAAAGTCCTGAATATTATGTTTAATTAATTTATTTATTTCTGAAAAATAAATGGCCGTATAAACAATTAATTTGTTTAATGAAATTCTAATGTTAAGGTAATATTTATATTAATTATAAATTCAAAGTAGGAATACTTTTGGGCAATAGTATTTATGACGGCAGCCAGAACATGTCCTGCTGCGTGGTTTTCGAAGCTCAATGGAGAGAAAGTTTTGGGAGGAAGAATGCACGTGTGTCTTTGACAGCTACTCGAAGTGAAATTCCTTGGAAATTAAAACCGCTGCCAGGTCGATTCAACCATTTCCACATTTGGTATAGCCAAATTTTTACCTTTTACCTTTATCATAATACCAATTAGGCTGAAATTATTATGTAAAATAATATTGTAAGAAAGGCAATTAAAAATGTTATGATAATATATATGAATTTGAAGCCCAGATTTTATCGTTATCATTATTTTTTACTACATTCTAAATTAAAACCTTTAAAGATATTTATTAAGACCGTATTCTCCCTTAGAAACTTTGAAAAACTTTCCGCCATTGAAAAGCCTAACTCCGTCTAAGTGAGCTCAGATTAGTCCTGAGCGATGCATTCGAACGATCGACGATGACCTCCAACTCTGAGTTCCTCTGCTCCAGGCGACTGCGTTCCTGGCGGAGCTTTCCGACCACAACTCGCTTCGCTTCCAGGAGCGTCACGGTGGCATCATAGTCCCGCAACATGTCGGGATAGTGCATCAGACAGCCGGCAGTTTTCAGCTTCTTGGTTTGCTTCTTCAGTCGCTTGTGCTGGACCATTTCCGCATGAAGACGATCCCGGAGGTCCTTTCGCCGCTGCTCCTGCGTTCGCAGTCGGGACTTCATGTCCTCCAGCAGCTCCTTGTTCGTTTGCTTCTTGTTCGTCAAATGGGCCATCGCATGGATTGAGTGAACGGTGCGATCGCGCAGTCGCTTCAGCTCCAAGTCCTTCTCTTTGGGTGCAAATACAAAAAAAAAATTAATAATTAATAAACTAAAATGTGTATAATTTTTAATATTTTACCTTCAATCTTGATTCCCAGCGCGTTATTGTGTGCTTGATTGGATATATATTCCACAAGTTGCAGGCCATTGCCCAGATTTTCCATTTTCTCCGATTTCTGCAATAATTTTGTTAGAAGGAAATGTTTGGATTAGTAATAAACACTAGTTAAATTAAAATTACTTAAAAAAAATAAATGTAAGGTGTAGGTTTTTACAATTTGTTTGTCAGAAAAGGGCCACTTAAGTGATCTTTTTCAATTGGGAATAGGAAAATTACACACAAAAGTCAATCATATGAACTTACAGTTTTGATGGAATGCAATCGATGCTGAACGGAGATCAACTCCTCACGAGCGTGGGACATTTCGGCACGGACTTTGTTCATTTTTCGAAGGAGATCATCGACGACGGTCCTTAGGTGACCGCAGCCTTCCTTGCAAAGAGTTTTCCGGACTTTATCCTCGAAATGGCTGATTTTCTCGGCATCCAGCTTGCGAACGAGCGACTCTTCCTTCTTTAAATCACAAATTCGTTTTAAGGACACCATTTCAGTCTCGCTTTTTTCCTCCAATCGAGTATCCAATTGCATCAGGGCAGTCATATACCTTTCGCGATTAATGGTATCGACTTGCCTCGGCTCGCTCACTTGGACGAACTCCTTGTGGCGCACATAATATTCCGTAGTGAGCTTTTCGAGAAACTGATTTTGCTGTTTTTCGTATTGGTAGACGATGGCCATTTGATGCAGTTCCAACAGCATTTTCTTTTTATCCAATAGTCGCGCCCGTCGAACTGCAGTTCCTTCCGCAAACTGCACTGCTTCATTCAGTAAACCATCGAGGAATTGCTCAACCACCTCGCTGCTGGCCAAATGGGCTTGATATTTCGTAATCCCTAAGATTTCATCAAAGACCGTTACCCGGGGTCTGATACTTAACAAACATTCAAGAATGTCCTCACTGCTCGCTTCTTCTGGCACATCATCCTTTACGATTTCCCCATCGCTTTCGATTGGAGTAGCGAAACTAAATCCTGAGCTGATTGTTTTCAGTTCTAGATTGTCGCTGTTCCCGTTCTCCTCGTAGAAATCCGTTGAAGATTGCGATTTACTCGGCCCTTGGCTACCTTCATCCACAGCTGCCACGAATACTTTCTCCTCTTCGGGATTTATATATATAATATCCGAACTGGTCGTGGCTGACAGTGTGTCTATATCAGGTATCTTATTAAATGCACTCAGAAAACTAATTCTCCGGGCCTGGTCATCGTGATCTGGTTCCTCCACTCGAGAGTCCATTTCAGTTACAGAAGACTCTTGGTCGGACTCGAAAACTGTTAAGAGACTAGTTGCGACTTTTTTTGAGTCATCCGATAAACTATTTATTTCTATTGAGTTAGTATCTGATGATTTGAGGCTTTGTAACTGTTCTATATCTGTTTCTGATGTCTCTTTGCTGTCTGCCTGCACTTTATTTCCTTGCTCTACTTCATTTGGCTTCGTAGCTCTTAAAAGATGTATGTAAGGGCGATCCCGAGAATCGCCTGCCGTACTTATCAATGACTCTCTTTTCTTAGTTCTCCTGCTGGATCTTCTTGAGAATATGCTGGGTGAAGCCGATGTGGTTGACGACATAGAATTTAAGCTCGCCCGATCCGAGCTAGAATCCAAAAACATAGTCCTAGAGAGGCGATCATGGAAAGTGAATTTTTCGCTCGATCCCCGTGATGCTTCTCTAGAGGATGCCCTGAACTTCTCCTCTTTCAGGATTGTACTCGTGGTGGCTTTCACTGGTAGCGCTTTCTTTTTTGGGGTCCTGATATGCCTAGCCACTTTGCTAACCTTCTTTGTCACTTCAGTCTTTTTCTTTATTAAGATTTCATTACCAATCGAGACAGTCGAACTGATCCTTGATCTTGGCTGCTCGGAATCTTTGGAGTTTCCTGTACTTTGCGATGCTTGCATAAAAGGGGCCAGTGGAGTAATACTCATGGTTGCGGTAAGTTTTAAAACAACGAAAACTCGAAGCAATAACTATAAAATAAAAAAGGGAGAAAAAACTAACGTTGGCGCAACGAAAACGAAAGTGTAAGTTTGATTTTTAATTGATAGGTAACTGAATAAAAAAAATTTGCGACTTAAATTAATTTAATTCTGGATTTAAACACTAGCAAAGAACTAGTAAATTGAAATTAAAACGAGCTAAGATCTTCTATAAATGAGTTGGTTCATATTCAAAACGATTCCCCTCAAGTCAATAATAAAATTACCCCGTTTAACTTTCCGTTTTTGCCAGTCAAAACTCCACTTTTCACTGCAACCATCAATCCCAACATCATCCATGGACCGTATGCCAAACACCTCCTTGCGGCCATGAACATTTACCTGCTCTAAAAAAAAGGGGAAAAGAAACCCAAATTCAACCGATTCTCCCTTTTTGGCTGACTAACTTTTCCATGCCCCGTTTTCCCCGCGAGGAAGCTGCCTGTTGTTGGTTAATATCATCACTCATGTATGCCGCATACTAAAGAGAATTTATCATGTCTGTTGCTGCTGCCGCTGCTGCTGCTGCTGCTGCTGCTGCTGCTGCTGTTGATGCAGCCATAAAAAATAGTAGAATCTGGCGAGGGGGAGGCGAATGCAGGGAGTCCTGACTAAAGGACCCGCGGGGATCGAGGTTCGGGGTTCGAGACTCGAGGCTTTTGGGCATTCGTCTGCATTGCTTAGCCCCGAGCTGTGGCGCCTGCCATTGTCGCTCAAGTGTTTCGGCAAACTGGCATGCCATCTCTAAGGCAAGTGGTGGCGAAAGTGAGATGGCTAGAAGTTCCAGGACGAAGCAGAAAGGTCGGAAGGATATCTGTCTCAGTAGGAAAAGGAGTAGTAAGAAGTCATTTGATTTTGACAGACTGGAGTAACCATTTTAACCAATGCTGATTAAAAAACATTCTTTCATTGTCATTTAGCTTTCCTATTTGTACAAATCAAAAGCGTTTTGTCTATAGGAATTTTATTAAATTTGTGAAATTATAAACGAATTTGTTTGAATAAATTTAACTATTTTCAATACATGTTCATACAAATTAAAAAGTTTTTGTCGGTATGAATTTATTTTCATGCATTTTTAATTTTTTTTTTATTTACTAATTTATTTAAATCATTTTACTGAGTACCCCAGCAGCGACGCCTTTTTCGCAACACATAGTTTAGTTTGATGTTGCTGCCACGGCTGCTGAATATTCGCAAATTCGTTTACGTTTACCTAGCCTCCTCCATGCCCCACTTTTGCCTCTTTCCCCCCGGGCGACCGCCATCAGCTAAGTAGATTTGGGATACCTGCATGCAGCTATGCTGCACCTGCAGCGTTTGAGTGGGTATATAGTATTTTTTTGGAAACGGTTTTTTTTCAGCTACCCTCGCACTGCTTTTCCCTTTCCCTGGGATTTCTGGCAAATTGCCTAAAACTTTCTTTATATTTGGTGTAATGAATTCTAGCGAGGAAGAAAACTAAACTAGATTTCAGATTGACAGAGAGAGTGGTCAAAAAAAAAAATGTTTTTCTGGTGGCATGCAAGCAAAACGAAAAAAAAACAGCGGCAACCAAAACGGAGTGAAGCATACATTGCGTATGCGTAATGTGTAACAGATACTCCACATACGCCACGTTTTATGTGTGTGTACGGTTGTGCGAGTTCCGTTTCCGCAATTAAAATGTTGATTACATGAAGTACGACTGCCGCTTGTTTGTTTCCCTTGTGCCACGCCCCCGTTTTGCCCATCCGATGCTGTGGACGCCACAAAGGAAAACGGAAATGATGTGTAGATGCGGGCGTTGGCGTTGGCGCTTAGCTGAGCTTTTCATTTGGCATTAACAGCACTGGCGGAGTGGTGAAGGCAACAACAATGAGCAGAGCCCATAAATTGCAAACATTTGGTTGTTTAGCGATAAGCAATCCGTTTGTGAAAGCAACGAGGAACAGGGAGTTTAATGACCCACCTAGATATTAAAGTCGAGACAAGAGATATACAAGAAGGTACCTTAATAGTAAAGTTTAACCAACGCAAGTCTGGAAATAGCCACACAAGCTTTAAAAGTCCTTAATTAACGAGGCACTATTTTTAGATATACAAAGCAATGTGAAATTTCTCGGGGCAAAGAAAACATGAGTAACTCATGTTTAAATATTGCTTACATTCCAACCCGCATAATTTTATTAATATTAATTCACTAATAATTCATATTTTAATTATCTTAAATATTATTTCTAATATATTTCATAATTCCCATTAATTCGATAAAAAATCTTTAACAAAACAAATTCGTATCATCCATATCGATGTATTTAAAAATTAGAAACTATTCAACGTAGTTAAAAATGGTTTTAAAAAATTGTTATTGCGCAGTAAATTGCTCCGTTATTCCAAAAAAAAACAAAGACGCCAAGAAAAAGCAGAATGCTCTGATGGCTTGCAAAAACACGCCTTACACCGTAATTAAATCAATCATACGACCTGTTGGTAAGGAGGCCAAGACAGAAACAGAAGCGAAAGGAGCAGCCAAAAACAGCGAGTGGGCAGGGGGAGGCAACAGGCGTGACGAAGGCAACGCCCCCGCATACACCTGGAGAAATTCCCCGCCACCCCCTTCGCCCCTGCCAACGAACACCTTGCTTAGCATAAATGAATATTTATAATTCAAACGCCTTTTTCCCATACTTTTTCCTTCAGTATGCAAAACAGCGGCGGCGACTGAAGATCCGAAAAGTGCTTTTTTTTTTTTTGGAAAGAAGAAAGAGACAGCTGAATGTGGATGGGGAGAGAGGAGAATAATTTTTTATGAATATTTATTTGTTTTTACGGAATCGAAGTTATGCATTTGCTGCTCGCTCTTTTCTTGCTGGAAATAATGCTCTGTTAGACACGCCGCCTGCCCCTCGAAGTGGCATCAAAGTTTTCCCTTCTTCGCCTGTTGAAAGGTGCGTAAGACAATTTAATTTATTTGATGCATTAAAGCAGAAATATTAACGCAATAAATCAATGGAAACAAAAGTTTTTCGTATTTTTCCCTTGTTAAGTTGCTGTTTCTTGTTTAAGTGTATTTCGCATTAATTTATGTGTGTGCCCTTAACCCTACCCCTGCCCCTGCCACCATTTCAGCTCCCTTTTGGACCAGGCCAAAAAAATGTTCTTCAGCGCGTATTTTTTTATGACAGCTGCGGGTAAAGTTATGGCAGAGAAAGTTGGCATTGGGGTACGATTTCTCTGGAAGGAGGGCTACTTTGAAATCCAACGATATGGTTAACAAAAATATAAAATAATTCTGAGCACAATAGCTTTCCAAAGATTAATATACATTAACACTATAATTCTATTTTAATTAATGGTTTTAGATGCAAGGTTACAAATCTATAATAATAAAAAAAATGTTAATTTATCCTTAATTAAAAAGCTTAGAGTATTGAAAGTTAAACTGCTACGTTTTTACTGTATTATAATACATTTTGGTTTAAAAATGTTTTCCCCTTCCTAAATCTAGCAATAAATCGACCAATTTAAAGTTCATACATTTTTTAAAGTGCTTTTATCTAACAATACTTTAAATTCCAAATAAATATTGTTGCTTTACTCGTTAGCCTAGGATAACCTTGTTTTGCCAGCCACAAATGTTTCTGGTTGAAAAGAAATCTCATCCAAAACAACCTAAGCCAGACTGAACCATTAGCTTTGTACGCAAAGTGGCGAGCTATTTCCTGGCCCCCCAAACTCCACTCTCATAGCCCAAACTCCACTTGAGTACCACATAAGCTTGAAAACTTCAAGTACTGAACCGATTTCAACCCGGCACAGGAATGAAGTGAAATGCCACTGACCCAGTGAGAGTATACAGAATGAAAGGAGTGTTAGGCAAATGCACAAAATAAACACAATTTTTGAAAAAGTACTTTCGTCAATAAATTCATACAATTTATATAATTTAAAAAAATTCATTATTAAAAAGTGTACTCTTTGTATTTTTTATTTTATTTAATTTATTTATTTATGTAAAAAAAAACATTTTTCTCAGTGTTGTCCAAAAGATGTGGTGTCCAACAGCAGTGGTCAGCGTATGAATTTGGAAGGAGCAGCGAACCAAGAACTCAGGCAACAAATCCCTTCTCAAAAACCAGAGATCGACCTTGAAAATGCTTATAGTAAGGTTAGGTTTTGAATATTCCACGCAGAACGGAACTTTAACTCGATTAATGCGCACAAAGTGCAATAATTTGCATTATTTTTCATTTTCAATTTGAATTCCGTTTCTGCTCGCTGGCTCTGCTGTTGGCCAAACAAAAGTCGCTCATTTAACCCATTCGGTTGTGTGCATCGCATAGATAAAGTCATATATCAGGGATAATTTTAAAAGCCCTTCCACCCTTATCCCTTGTTCCTGACGTCATCAGTCGGAGTTTGGCTTTCTGGTCTGTTGGTTCATTAAATATTGTGATAATTTTTCATATTTATTTTTAAGTGGTTTACAGTGACAGTTAAATTTACATTTTATTTCATTAAGCAAAGCGCCATTTTTATTTGAATTTCACATCCTCATATATTCGTATTTATGATTTGTATATACATTTTTATTTCGTTCTTTGTTAAATGACGTTTAATTGAACGCCAGAAAATAACGTGCAATTGTTTTAATTTTTATTTGCCAGCCTTGAAACTTTATCTGGAGTGTGTGTGTGACTTATGGCTGAATATTAAATGAATGATTTTTTTGCCTGACAATAGCGTTCTCATACCTATATAATTTAATGCTTCGTTTAAATATGTTTGCACTGTTCAAGGTTTTTGTGTTTGTTTTAATAAACATTATTTCAGATCTTTTCACTTATCCTACTCAGCTAAAAATATTAACATGTTAAATGGCTAGCAGATTTATTTTCCAACATGAAATACCCGTATTAAAATCTGCTATAAAACTCTAAATATCCCAAGTTTACAGAGAGCTGCTTTATATAACAACTTTTAATGTTAACTAACCTTTTAATATTGTTAATATTATTATTATTAGAGGGGTTTTTTTGTATTTAAATAAAATAATATTAGTAATTAGTATTACTTTTTGTATGTTAAACTTAGATTTATTTAAACTATGTATAACTTCCTTAAAATTATAATTTGTTAAAGGCAAATAACATTTTAAAGTTCTGTTATATTTGGTACTTGACTCTAACAGATGTCCCTAGTGTTGGCCTGCTCACATCCTGCATGTTTATAGGAAAGTTCTTCTGTTAATCTAAAAACGTTTGGCAATGAAACAAACAAAGGGCGAAGGAAAAAGCGTGAGAGCAAAATATTGCACTCGGAGCTTTTACTCTTTCGCTTTCGCTCAGCAAAGTACGTTTCACTATGGGAGCCTCGCGCGCTGGCCGTGTGATGGCGCCACTTGCTTGCTAGACACTGCGAACACGAGTTTTTTTTAGTCACAATTTCAACTTTGAGGCGAACGCACGTCGTTTTTGTCGCGCGCGTCATTTCAAACCCCTCCTTTTTGAAAGAGCCCCACGAAAACCGAAACTGAAAACTGAGTCAAACTAACAACACGCACACTCGCCAGCTTTGTGTGTGTGTGTTGTGTGTGTGTGCGAGTGACCACTAAAAGTAATATCGTGTTTACAAAAAAGGAGGAAAATAACCGTAATACAACACAAATAAAAACGAAAAAGTGCAAGTGCGGCAGCAATCATAACAGAAACGAATTCAAGGCAAATCTGAGGAAGTGCATGCAGTGAAAATGGAAAATCTCTGAGCCTTACGCTTGAAATGCCGCATTTGTTGTGCGTGCCGAAAACATTTGTCAAGCATTTGTTGTTGTTGTTACTGGGAAAAGCTGAGAAAACTGTTGCGGTTGCGGTTAATTAAAGCGCGAAAAGTGGAACACAAGCAGTAATCATCCGGCAAACCCCAAAACTAGCCAAAATTAGAAATAGTCGAAACAACGAGAGAAGGGGAAAACTAAAAGTAAATCCCTGTAAAAACAAGGGCTAAACTTTTGCATCATCAGTTTTTATAGTTGGTTGTTATGGTTCTCTAAAATACCCCAAAAAAATAAACGTACAAACTTGGGTTATACTTAGTAATTTGGTGAATATCTTAGATGTATTTAAAATAAAGAACATCATTTTCGAATAGAAACTAAAATCTAGAGATAATTCACATGAAAATGATGATAAAAATAAATATATTATAATATAATGTAGTTCAGCAAAAACATTTTTTGTTTTGTATGGGAAAACATTCTAGGTCTTAAACGTTTTTCTTTTTCTTGGTAGAATGCAAAGTTTAAGGTAACCACTAAACCGCTAGTCTAGCTTTCAATAAAGATATTTAAGCTATGTAGTTAATAAATTTACATATTTAAATTGAGCAATTTAAAAAGTCCGAAACACAGGTTGACTTTTCCGAGAATTCGCTTGAAAATTCCAACTTGAAAATTTGCCATCATAAATTCCACTTTTAGCCCGAGAACATTTTAATCTTTAATTATATTTTGTCATTTTTTCTTGTCCTCCCGCTCCACAATCTCCCCTTCTGGCTCCTGCTTCTGCTCCAATTTGGGCTAATTATGTTGCTTGGACGGGTTGGAGTAGATATAGTGTCCTGTATATAAGTCTTGGTCTTGGCCATTTATTTCGTGCTGCATATTTTTAGGCGTTCCACTTGGCGGTTTTGCGGGTGAACGCGATTTTGTTGTTGCTGTAATTATAATAACAGCTTCTGGTGTTGTTGCTTTAAAACATATCTGCACCTGACTTGTTAGCTATTTATTCGTGTTTATCCAACCATTGTTGGCTTTAAATAACAAAAAAATGGCATACAAGCGGAAAAATTGAATATTTTTGTTAGCTGTCAAGTTTTGACAGGCCATTTATATATATAAATATTTATAAATATTTGTTAATTGCCAGTGGTGTCGCTAGATTTGTAGGCCAATAAATAATATTCAACAAAGATGAAAAGTGGGTGCATGCATGTCGAGTTTTTATGAAAAACTAAAGGATGTAATAAAGAAAGGGGTATAAATTAATGCTTTTTTTTTTGTAAATATTTAAATATTATGAAAATGTTATTTCCGAGAGTCTTTTATATGCAAGCATTATATTGCGCTTTTGTTTCTATTAAATAAGCTTCTTACTTATTCAAAACAATGGATTAAATTTTACATTGCGCTGCAAGCTTAAACGGTGATATGCGCAGTTCTGATTTACCCATTCCATAAACTATACTTCCAAATTTTAGTTGCTTATAATATCTCCCCTTAATTGATGACAATAATACAAAAATAATTTTGAACTGGATAACCGAATTGGCTATAAATTAGGACATTATCAAATGAGGCCATAACTTAGCAGCCTTGATATATGAGTAATTCTCCGTGCGCCGACCCCAATTCTAAAAATTCAGAATCCTGCCATAAACAGCACTAAACCAATATGTGATAATTGCATCTGCTTGCTTGAATTTAGTATAGACATTATTTGAGTGATACATATTTAATAATTTAACATTGTTTTTAATAACTTTTTTTTAAGTTAAGTTCATATGTTTATATAAATTATGATTAGTCATGTAAAGATAAATTTTTTTTTAAATTTTAACGTGTAAATCACTCTGCCACTTAGAGTTTCATTCACCAACTCAATTGCCTGGCAAGCGTTTTCCTGACTCTCTAAATCAACCAAGGGGTTAAAGTGCAATCGGGTACTGGATTTTGAATTTATGTGGCAAGTCTTTCCTTCGCTTTTCCGTTTTTCCACGTTTTTCCCTCATTGAGACCGAGAAAAGGCTGCTGTGTAATTAATCTTGTCCCAAAATGGTTGAAAATTTATGTCTTTAACTTGACTGCAGTGCCGCTCCATGTGATGGAAGAAGCAAATGGGGGGCAGCAGGTCCTTTAATAGTTTTTGCCTTTAACTTTCGCGTTGTTTTCGTTCGCGTCGCGATTAAAAGTGATTAATAGCCAACATTTTATTACCGCACAGAGGCAGCACTAAAACTGGGGAGCCCCCAAAACAACAACTTAATGTCCAAACGAAATAAGTGAAATTTTCACACCGAAATTAATAAAGACATTAGTGCGTGTGGGCGTGGCTCATTTGGGGCATTTAACGTTGGCAAAGATGTGTGCCCTGGATCCCTTTACCCAGCACCAGCTGCCGCGCCACCATAAAACCGAGCACCACCAATGCCACCAACAGCTGAGGGTGGAGCAACAGGCTCCGGGAACGAGGAAATCGGCCACAGGAAGGACGACGGCCACGAGCTTGCAGATCTGGTATATCCTACATGTGATACTAGTCCTAATCGGTGAGTTATAAATCTCTATCTCTCCCTCTCTCCCTCTAAGTATAGAAAAGGTTCTTTTGGGCACATTTAAAATGGCTCATAATTAATGCTTGGGTTGCGGGACTCTTTTTTCAGTTTTATTTATTTACAAAAATAAACGGGAGGGGTAGGTTCAAGCACTAATTGGAAATTTGTGCTTAAGTTCGCCATAGTCCAGTGAGGAGCATTAATTTAAATAGGGTATCTAATTATACAAGTTTACCCATAAGGTTTACTAAAACAAATACTTCGGCTTTGTAATAATGGTTAATGGGAAATGAGATTTAAATAATAAAACAAGGCTGTTAGGGTTTTGAAAGTCTTAATAAATTAAAGGGATAATAAAAGACCTTAAACCTTAAAGACCTATAAAAACCGATACTTAACCCCTAAAGTTTAACTCCAGTTATTATTTTTAGCTGTTTCTCGCCTTTTACTGCAAACAACTTTAAACTACTCTTTTGAAATCAAATATTTTAAACCACAAATTTGGTTTTCGCTAACAAAGAATTTTTGCACGCATTTCCAAAGAACTTTCAAGTGAAGTAACAAATATTTTAAATGTTTTCATAGAATTTATCAGAAAATCTGTAGCCAAACAAGAAGTTTACGCATTTCATTACCAAACATTCTTACGGCATTGTTTATGTGGATGAAAATCCAGCCTCCCCAAGACGAGTTCCTCGGAAAACCCCAAGAAAAACAATCAACAAATTGAAAGCCAAGGAGCAAAATAATCGAACAAGTCCAATGGCCATGGACAAAAGGGCAGATGAGGACAAATTGGGGGACGCTGACGGAATAGAAATTAATAAATTGGGCAAGAGTCCACTATTGTTTGCTTGATATTGGGGTACATTGTTATTTTTGTTTGTTTTGGTAACAAAGAAGCTTAAATTGGTACTCTAGCCTTAAATAGCTCTAAATATTTCATTAACATCTCAATTGATAAAGAACTTGACTTAATGTAGTGTCAATATAAAATGTTTATTGATACTAGAAATGTTGAATGTTTGAAGGTGCGATCACGACTATTTTAACTCGTTAAGAGGCGTTTTTGTCGTTTAAGCAGAAGCTGTAATAATAATAACTAAATAACACATTAAGCACTGTAATTTATTATCTTAAAGCATATTATTTTGATTTATATTAATGTATGCTTTTTAAAGATATAACATTTTTTGGAAAGGGTGTTTTTTGTTTCATATTTTCGGAATCTTTTGTTAAATTCTCTTGGTGCTTCAAGCCAGTTAAGTTGACATTTCCGCTAGGGCAGGAACGTGAGGGTGTTACTAATAGGGGTGCCGAAAAAGCAGGGTGGCCAAAACTGTGGGTAGAGACTGTAACTGTCTTTTCATTATTTTCAAATCATATCACAAAAGCTAAAAGCGAAGGAGATGGGGAAAGCTGAGCAGCGGAAATGGATATGGAGCCAAGTGAATGTTTGCACACCAGCGGGGATCTGCAGGTCCCTTTGCCTTCTCTCCCCATATCCTTCTGTTATCCTGTCTCCTCGCCTCGCCTGTGTGGGTGCGTTGGCTTAATTCAACGTCTCATTTGCATACATTAAAATGTCACATTTTACATGTCGTTTGTGCGTCTCGCCTTAAGCCTAACAGCAGTAACAGCATCCGCAGCAGAAGCCAACGTCAGTTAGCGTTAGGGATACTCCTACTCCTACTCGGAGCCAAGAAACCAAAGAGCCATCCAGTCATCCAGCCATCCAGTCAGCCAGCCATCGAGGCCTTCGAAAGGCCCACAAGCAGCGAGTCCTACACATAAACTACATTAGCAATTGGAGGCAGCCGAAGGCAGCCATGTAAAAATGGCTTAACGCGCAAATCTTTCAACTAAACATTAATCCTAATGGTTTTCAATTTTGTTGCGCCTTCTGTGGCAAGTCAAGTTCGCGTCTCTCTTTATTTTCCAGTCTGCTTTTTTTTTCGCAACCCACACTCACTCTTCAGTTTTTTTTCACTCTGACTTTGACTCTGGTTGTGGGCCCTGCTTTGCATGTTAATACGCTCTTTGATATTGCCGAGCAGCGCCTGCAGCCTGATTGCTTCTGACAGCGTCCCCCGAATCGCCCAGCCACCCGGGGCCAACTGTAAATATGAAATTCGTTAAAATTTCATTGGAAATTCAGCTCGTTCTCATTGAATTTTGGCAAAAATACTGCTTAAGCACAAATAAAACAGCTCCACCTGCTTTCGCCTTTCTGCTCTACTTAAATATATATATATGGAAATGTATATCTATATCGGCTTCCCCTCTCATTAGCCGGTAACACAATTTCCCATTAATCAAGTCGGGCCCACAGTGGAAAGTGCCCTTGACTCACTGCACAAAGAAAAAAGAAAAAATCGACAGGGGTCAAAATAATCATATGAAATGCGGGGGGTCACACCACCTCTCTCATTCACTTAATTGCACAATCTCTCCCTCTCTCTCTCTCTCAAGAAAAGGTATGTCATTTATGATACGCTAAAAAAGTTAAATTAACAATATATAATTAGTTCAGGGAAAAAATATCAAAATAAATAAGTTTGTTAAGCTTATACAAGAGTTCAAAAGTTCAATAACATAGTTTTAGTCATTTAAAAGGTTTGTTACTCATTTTATAAGAATATTGGACGGTGCCCATAAAAGTATGCTATATTGTTTGTAAGTTGTATGTATTGCTACCCATAAAAGTATGCTATATTTTTTAATTTTAAGGTATTATTACAAACTCTTATTATTTGCTATTAATTTTTGTAGGGATTATTGGAGATCAAGTCAAGAATCCGACAACATTTATATATTAGGAAAAATATATTTTCTCTGCACATTTTCACAGAATACTTCTCCAGCCAAAAACTACCCAGCAGATGATGCATATGTGGCCATTACGGGCTACATGTGTACACACTAACAAACCAACTGTGTACTTATTTCCCCACAGCCCCTGATCCATACATTGCCATTAAATTGTTGCTGGCAAACTGAGCATAAGCTCAAGTAGGCTTTTGTTTAAATAAAACTGTGTCGCCACAATGGCCAAAGCAACTGAGTCTCTGTGTGTGTGGGTGAGCGTTTTTCCCTGCTCTGTGTTTGTTTTGATTATTCACACACGCACACTCAGATTGTTGCAATAGATAGAAAATACACACACATCCGTATCAATGTCCTGTGTTTGCCAGACAAAAACATTTTGAGCCACTAAGCTTTTGTTGAAGTTTATCTCTGCATTTGCCCAATTGATGAAAGCACCTCGATTTTTTCTATTTTCCTTCTTCGTGTTGTTTTTTCTACTTTTATTTATTGTCGTTGACATAAGCAGCAGGTCGCAAAGGTGCCTCAAATACAAATAAATCATAGGGGGAGCGCAAATGTTCATCAACTGTAATCCAAAACATTTGTAAATATATCATGACACTTTTTGGTGACAGCAGTTTGATGGAACAAATTGCATAAAATGCACATTTGGTGTATAAATTATATAAGCATTAAAAATATATATGTATATTAAATTTTTTGACTAGTTTAGTATTACTGTTTGTGTTTTATTTGACGGTTTATTGTATTCATTTGATAAATTCTATGGAGTAATTTACTTTTTTTAAAAAGAAACTTAAATCAAGTAGCCAATATCATTGGTTTGTATTGGTTTGCTGATTATAAATATATTTAAAGATACAATTGAATGTTACCCCATATTTGTGTTAAATTGACTAGTGCATGAGACCAAAAATCTTTAAATCTGAATTTCTCTTTTGCATTTTATTAAGTGATATTGATTTTCAATCGAAACTTTATATGCGTCTGAGGGGAATTTCCACTTTTCAATTAAAAGAAATGTCTAAAAGCCAACAAAAGAGGGCCAAGAAGCACCCAGTGTCACAGGACAAGACAAACAGTTTGGGACCCAGTTTTTCGGTTCAGTTCGGTTCAATTTGGTCCGATCCGGTCAGAAAACGCCCCTAAGCAAATTGAAACAAAATAAAAGTCCGTGAGTTGACTTGGGCTTTTTTGTAGCCTTATTGAAATCATTAGAGCGTGGAAAAGCACAAAAAAGTGTATATTTGGGCTTCGGTAGACTTAGCATTAATGTCTGCCGAGGCTCAGACGAACGACCGACTGACGCCTATTAATCATGCAGACTTCACATTCCATTAAGCAGTCAACGAGTGGGAGGTGGGAGGGTATAAAAAGAAAACGGAAGATGAAGACGTGTGAGGCTTGCCCAAGAATGTTTGAAGCATAATTCCTCAACATGGTCGGATTACGATTGGGTCAAGCCAGGACTATGCCTAAACAAACTGGATCAATCACCCAGGTTAAGGGGCTGCCATAGGATACTCTACGGACTCACAGAAATTTGAGGCTTTGAACTCAAAAGGTTGAAAAAAATCCAGAACTGCCAGTCTAGTTATTGTGACATTAATCTTAAAACGAATTATCTAATATATTAAAAAAATAATTTCTTATTAGAAAATGGAATTTAGGGAAAAACATTTGAATAAGGTAAAAACTATTTAAACGGGATATAAAGTTTTAAGTGTATAAGCTTTATTTAATAATATACCTAATATAAATTCTATCTTTCATCGACTTTCTACAAATAATGTTAAATAAACTATATGGCTTAATAAATTTTATAAATATAAAAATACTCTAATGTTGATTTTCTTTGAACTATCGCAAATCTCAGATTGATAGAAATGCTTCCCCCTTTATTTTTAAAAACTCGATATCCTGATAACCAGTCCTCTCAGTTTTCAACCCACCGCTTGCGGCATGTGCGGAGGTTCAAAGGGTAAGCGAGTAGAGAGCCCCAGCATAAAGAGCAGACAGGAACAGAGAAGCGCAAACATGGAGCAGCAAACAAAGTCAGTGGCCATTTGTCTGCTCCCAACTTCTGGCTCCTAATGGCCAAAATATTGTATTACAACAAATTGTGCAGCTAGACCGAAAAAAGAGCAAGTCAAACGGGGAGAAAA